CCGCCCTCAGGATGGGTAGGATCCTAGCCAAGAAACAGCTAAAACAAAGGCTTAATCCATCAACATCTCCAAAAGTACTGGGAGAGTCTCCAAATGTGTTTTGTCTTCTGTAGTTCTTCTCTTGGCTGAATGTTCCTGTTAACTGAAGTATGACCCTGAAATGCAAAGGCTTGTACCCTCTAGCTTGCGGTTTTTCCCTTTAAAAACCCTTCACTCTGAGAGCTCAGGGCCGTCCTCCTTCACCTGCATAGGCAGAGTGTTGGACGCGGACCAAGCCCGGGCTTGCTTGTTTTAATAACCCCCTTTGTACTTGCATCGGATACTGGCTCTGTGGTGGTCTTGCTTGGGGGTCTCGAGACACGGGCACAGCACCTGCAGGCTGTGCAGTGTGCTCCAGGTCCCCGGCTTTGCGAGCTGTCCCCCATGCTGGGTGGGCTTTGGGGATACAGCTGTCTTTGAGTCATTTCTGCTCCTGTGAGTGACCCCTCACCCACACCCCAGTAAGTAACCCCCAATAAAAACCATTGGTTCACCAAACTGGACTTTGGTGGTATTTTTTCTTTGGTCCGTGGTGGGCTCCCGATCTGAGGTGAGTAGATGTGTGTGTGTGTGTGTGTGTGTGTGTGTGTGTGTGTGTGTGTGTGTTGTGTCTTCCCCCAGGAAAAGTTCTGTCTCACAGTAAAAACTAAAGTATACAGAGAACCTGAGCAGTTGGTTCTGGCATTCTGGAAGAGCAGGTTTGTTGGTGGGAGAAAGTTACTCAGAACTCAAAAGCAGGCAGGCTCAAATTTTACTGTAGAGCATCATTTGGTTATTAGAAGTCATGTTTCTAGTCTGGGCATGGTGCTATACACCCACAAACCTAGCACTTAAGTGGTAGAGGTCGGGGGATGACGAGTTCAAGGCCAGCCAAGGGCACATGAGACCCTGTCTCAAAGGGGTGGAGGGAAGCCCGTGCTTCTGCAATGGTCTCAACTCTCTCAATGACATAGAATAATATTTATTGCATAGTTAAGTGGGGGAAAGCCCTGACAAACCAAGAATCCAAAAGTTTAGAGTGATTTAAATGTGTATGCATTAGCTGATTCACAGAAAAGAACACACGAACATGTTTCCATTGTGTATCTTTTTAAACTGATCATATATTATTTTGTAACCTTTAAAAAACAAGTCAAGGGAATCATGATTTACAACAGGAAAGTGGTTTGGGGTGTAACACGCTGCTCGCTCGGTTGGTGGAGCACTTGCCTAGCTAGCACAGGGCCCTGGGTTTCCGCCCCAATCCCCACCCCCACACTTTCTTTTCTCCTCTCAATTCGGTCTGCTGGGAAATTGGGCAACTCGGAGAGCAAATGGAAAGTATCCCTAGGAAGCAGCCAAACCAGGTCAGAGGCTGGGCACATCTAAGGCGCTCTCCCCCACTGTGGGATGGAGGAAGTCTATGGGCGACAGCGTCCCCCACAGGCAGTGCCGCACTCTCGTGGGCTCTCCTCGGAAGCATGAACGGGCCTGTTTGGAAACCTGCAAGGGTCCGCCTTTGCACCCGACCCTGGCCCAGTTCCCTTGCCCCGGCTCACCTGCCCTTTGTAGGAACTTCACCTCGAAGGTGTCGGGGGCGCTGGGACCCACGGGCTGGACAGAGCACTCCCCGCCTCCGGAGGCCCGGCTCTGGAAGTATTTCTCTAGCTTCCTGTGCGCCCTGGGGATGGCCTCCGGCAGCCGCACGAGGAGCGGGGACGGCGGGCAGGAACTGGAGGCCATGGCTGTCGGCGTCTGGCTGGTGTGGGGGCTCAGGGACTTTGCACAGCCCGGACAGAGCAGAGGCGCGTCCTGCCCCAGAGACCAGGGCTGCAAAGTTTCAGTTTCGTTTCCCAGGAGGTCCCTCCCTGTTCCCCGCAGAGCCACCTCCTCCTTCTTTCTCTTCGGTCTCCTAGGGCTGTCGCCCCGGTGAGTAGTTTGTACCCCAGGCGGTGGGCTCTTGGGGGAAGTAATTTCTCCGGGGTCGCAGATCGCCTTCTTTTGCAAAATCGGAAGAGTGGCGGGAAGCGGGATCCCAGGGCCAGGCCTCCTAAGGAAGGATGTAGCGGATAGAGGGGTAAAAAGTTTTCTCTATGTTTGTGCTCTTTGAAACCATTGTTATGATTAATGTTTTTCTGAGAAGCGATTCGGAATTCATGTTATAGTTAACCTGCTTTCTTTGAAGTTGAGGGCGTTTACCTGCTTGGTGAACTGTTAGATGGGCACTTGAGGAATTTTCTGCTCTGGGTCCTTAAGTTAGCCACCAGCACAGATCTGCTTGCTGGCCAGGGTCCCTAGAGAGTGAGATAGACAGGCACCTGACCACAAGAGCCTTCAAGAGCTGAGTTCAACCAGAATTTTAAGGTGAGGTGGGGGGAGGGGAGGACAGTACCCCAGACTGGGAGAGCTATGGTCTGAACTCCTGGAGGGGTCAGTCCCAGGCCTGGGAGCAGATGAGATGGGTCAGAGAGAGGAAGAAGAAGGGTCTGTGAAATCTGTAGTGTCAACAGAAATACAGCGGGGATTATGTGTGTTCATTGTCAAGTTTATCACCATAGTTTAACTTGTATACAAGTTGATGGCTACTAGGTTCATATATTTGAATGCTTAGTCACCAGGGATTGGCACTCTTGAAGGAGTAGGAAGTGTGAGCTAATTTTTGGTTGTCAATTTGATTACATTTGGAATCAACTAAAACCCAAGCTAGCTGGGTAGTGTTTGCAAGAAATTTTCTTTTTTTCTGTTTGATTTTCGAGACAAAGTTTTTCTGTGTAACACCCCCTAAGCTGTTGTGGAACTGGCTTTGTAAACCAGGCTAGCTGTGAACTCAGAGATCCACCTGCCTCTGCCTCCCTGAGTGCCAGGATTAAAGGGTTGTGCCACCACACCTGGCTGTGAAGGGTTTTCTTGATTGGATCATTTAAGGAAAGCAGACCGACCCTAAATCTGGCCACGCCTCCAGGTAGCAGCCTATATAAAAGGACAAGGAAAAAGGAAGCTTTTGCTTTTTGTCTGCTTGTTTCTGGACAGACAAGTGCACTGTCTAAAGCAGATGCCCAGAGGCAGTCTCCTAGGAACCTTAGAAGTCTTTCTTCTGTGAAAACAACAGTGCCCTCTGGAGGCAAGGCGGACCTCCCCCCCCCCCCAGTAGGTTAGTATCCAATTTACTCAAGGTTTATGACCAACCTTGCAAAGACATTATAAATCACTCCAGAGACTTCAGGATAGCAACTGTAAGTTTTAATCATGAGTCTGTTCATAATCTTTAGCTTTTACCTACTAGGCTGAAATCATGAGAAGAGTTTCGACTTTCATCTAGATACCCTTAGGTCAGAGTTGTTTATCACGGATTCAGCAGAACACACCCCATGCAAGTTCAGGCAGTTTTCTCAGGGTTCAAACGCCCTGTCGGGAGCTCCACAGCTCATAGGCTGCTCTCTGAATGTCTTGTCCAGTCTTACCACTTTGTTTTTCTAAATACACCAACACCTTCAAGGGCTGACTCCTGTCTCACCTCCCCAAAGCTTTTTCTATTACAGCTCCTACAGCACCCCCCCCCTTCTGTTAGGACTTGAACCAGAATTCAGTCAGAACGTAGACAGCAACAGTAGCAAAAGGATGTGAGCATCCTCACCGTTGACATGAAAAACTGCCAAAGAGCAGAAATTTCTTTCAGGTTTCCCTATGGTATATTCTTTTCTTCTTCCTCTTCTGCTCTTCTTCCTCCTCCTCCTCTTCTCACTTTATTTTTTTTCCAAGACAGGGTTTCTCTGTGTAGTCTTGTCTGTAACTTGGCTGCAACAGCTCTGGCTGTCCTGGAACTCACTCTGTAGACCAGGCTGGCCTCGAACTCACAGAGATCCACCTGCCTCTGCCTCCCGAGTGCAGGGATTAAAGACATGTGCCACCACCGCCCGACTGGCTCTGGGATTTTTAATAAAAGACCATTTAGAAATTTGAGTTGCATATATTCTTACAAGATCCCCTCAGCTTTAAAAGCCTTTAATACCAGCACTCAGGAAGTAAAAGCTGGTAAATATCTGTTTGAAGCCAGCCTTATCTACATAGCAAGTTTCAGAGCAGCCAGAGTAACATGATGAGATCCTATCTCAAAAACCATAAAAAACAAACAAACAAACAAATTCCCTCACCTTTTGGTCAGTGCTTACTGTATTCTTCATATTTGATCCCAGAAATAGACCATCATCTCCAGGATCAACAGACTTGGAAACACAAAACGGTATAAACGGCTGAAGACCCACGTGGGACCTGAAGGATGGCCTTCTATATGGTAAAAACATAAATACCTTTTTAGTCATGAAGTTCAGTTATTACATGAAGAGTTACACCTAGCATCCTCATGGTTTTACTAGCCCAACAAAAGCTGCTCCTTGGGGCTGCACAGATGGCTCAGTGGTTAAGAGTGTATATTGCTCCTGTAGAGGACCTAGGTTTGGTTCCTAGCATCCACACGGTGGCACACAGTCTTGCCTGTAACTCCAGTTCCAGGGGATCTGATGCTCTCTTTCTAGTCTTTGTTGGCTCCTACTTGCATGTGGTATACCCGAACTCACACAGCTTTCTCCTGGGCCTAGAGAGATGACTCAGTGGTTAAGAACACTGGCTGCTCTTCCAGAGAACCCAGTTCAATTCCCAGCACTCACATGGTGACTCATTGTCTGTAACTCTAGTTCCAGGGATCCAATGCCCTCCTTTGGCCTCCATGGCATACGTGTGATGCACAGACATACATTCGGGCAAAACAGCCATACATATAAAATTATATTAACTTTTTCTAAGTTTTGTCTTCGTACTGTGTGAGAAATGGAAAATCAAGAGTATGGTAATATAGTTAAATATGGTGGTATAACTGGAATCATAGCTGTGATTCCAGTACTTAGGAAGCTGGTAGAAGAATCACCACAGGCTCCAGGCCAGCCTGTGCTATGGAGTAAAACTGTGGTGATATATTGTGTACCCTAATAAAATTTGCCTGAAGATCAGAGGACAGAGCAAGCCACTAGATTAAACATAGATGTCAGGCAGTGGTGGTACCCACCTTTAATCCTAGTACTCAGGAGGCAGAGGTCTATGTGGATCTCTGTGAGTTCAAAGCCACCCTGGATTACATGAGATTGATTCAGTCTAGGAGAGAAACAGAGCCAGGCAGTGGTGGCACACAGCTTTAATCCCAGTACTTGGCAGTCACATGTCTTTAATCCCAGCACTTGAGATCTCATGCCTTTAATCCCAGCACTAAGAAGGAAGTGATATGGCTGGGTGGAGAGAGGTATATAAGGCCGAGGGGACAGGAACTAAAGCTTTTTGGCTGAGGAAGCTTTTTCAGGCTAAGAAGTCCTAGAGGTAAGATGTGACAGTGGCTTATTCCTTTGTGTTTCTGATCTTTCAACATTTACCCCAATATCTGGCTCCAGTTTTTTTTTTTTTTTTTTTAATTAAAAGACCAATAATGGATATTGGGCACATTAGAATTCGTGTTACATAAAACCCTGTCTCAAAATTCAAAACAAAAAATAATAAATAATATACTTATTAGCAGAATCAACTTGGGGATAGATGGTCTTTTTTTTTTTAATGTCATCTCCAGGACCAGGAATGTGACACAGATGGTAAAGAGCTTGCCTACATGCATATGGCCCTGGGTTCAATTTCCAGGATCACATAAATTGGGCATGGTAGTGCATAGTAAGTTTGAGGCCAGACTGGTTATCTGAGACCCAGCCTCGGTCACCTCCATGTCGTGTGGATTTTCTTCACTCAAATCAGCAGTTCTTTTTCAGGATGGGTAAGGAGTGAGCAAGGAGTGAAAACCGGAGTAGAGAAAGGCACCTTGTTGAGTAGATCTGGAAAATTCCCACTTCATATTTGTGTTGTGAAATAGGCAAACGGAGATTGGTCCTTACAGATGTGAGGAGGTGCAGCTGGAGAGGCTCGCCTCCTCAAGGTTTCTTTTCTGGCTAGGGAAGCCCCACAAGATTTTGGAAATTGGAGCCTGCCTGAGAGCTTTGGCTCATTCTAATTTACACAAACAACCAAAACATTTCCTCCCCAAACCCCGCAACCCGAAAACTCCTGCTTTGAGTAGCGCTTCCTCTTACTAGACTGCGTGTACTGTCGGTCTTCTCCGCGTTTGCAGCTTCAAGCTTTTAAAGGAGACGTTTTCATTTCTTCACAGGGCTCTGGAGCAGCGGCAGCAGCGTACACCGAGAGACCAGGTATGACCGCCTCACTCTCACTCTTATTTAGGAAAGGCTTTGCTCAGCTCTCCCCTCAGTGCAGAAGAGGGGGCCCGGAAGGAGACTGTCTCCCCGTCAGGGGCTCAGGCGTGTGACTGCAGGCTCTGTGGAGATGCCACCACCTGCTTCGGAAGAGGAGCTGCCTCAGAGGCACTGGGACAGCTGAAGGCTGTCACTCTCAGGGTCCCCACTGTCCTTTTCCCTTGTAGGCAGATCGGAGACTCTTTTCTCTGCTCGTTTGTTCGAGACGGTCTCACTTTGTAGATCTGGCTGGCCGGAACTTAGATCTACCTGCCTTTGCCTCTGAGTGCTGAGATCAAAGGTCCACATCACTACTCTCTGGGCAGAAAGGGTGACCAAGAGCTGAAAGAGCCAACCTGCCTAATTCTAGGGATGGCCCGTTTCAGGTTTCCCATCAGTGCTCAGGCCAGTTGAGACCAACTGCTTAGATGTGGCTTCTTTCGGGTAAGAGAGGTCACCAGAAGT